CGTGGTGTTAGGAAGCAGGGTGCAGGGGATCTGGGTGCTTGTCCTGCCTGTCCCTCATTCACACTGGATGGGGGCCGTCGCCTCACCTCTCTGAGCCCGTGATCCTAGAAGACCAAGCATGTCAAACTCGTGGCCGGCGGGCCACATGCCTCGAGGCGTGTGGCCCACCGGCGGGCGTGAGTTTGACATGCTTGTCCTAGACCGTCTAAAACCATTGATGTATGTACAGGTCATTCTCCCAAACACTCCCCCTGGCCTTCTGCAGCTCTTGCTTTAGAATCCGGTGAGTCAGGGCCCCCGGCTCCCCTTGAGGGGCCTGGGGGAGGGAGCTGCTGCATTAGGCCTTGCGGTGAAGACCCTCGCCCTTGCCCTTGCCCTGTGCCTTTGGCTTCTCTTCAGCGTCTCCATCCTCATCTCCATGTCCTTGCTGTCCGGAGGTTTGGCCGCGTGACCAGGGCAGGTGCAGCGTTGGCCCGAGGCCGATGGTCCGTCTTTCTGTGTGACTCAGGCAGAGCGTTGAGAGTTCCCGGGGCAGACATCCTTCCAGCTCCGGCTTTCATTCTCCAGCCCCGTCTTCATTCAAGCCCGACTCCCCCCCCACCCCGCAGGGTAGGTCAGCCGAGAATGAGAGCGCCCTTTGTCGCGTGTGACTTGCGGGTCGTTTCGCCAGCTCCAGGGGGACAATGTGTGTGTTCTTGTTGGGGTTTGCCAGGCAAGCAGATGTCTGGGATGTGAGGGGCCCTTCTTTTCCCGGGGCCTCGGCCCTGGCTTGGAGATGGAATAAAGATCACTGACACCTCCCGTGGCGTTCCCAGTCGCTAAGAAGCATTTGCCTGCAGCATCCGCTCACAATATCATCTGGAATCCCCTTCTTTGACCAGAAAGCCTTAACTTGAATATCCCTCCTCCCCGGTGTTCCCCAGTATCGTGGCATCGCCATTCAGACCCTCCCGCTGAGGGAGTTAGAAGCAAAGCCACAAGCAAAACCAGAGCATTTCTCCTGTGGCCTGTCCGCGCCTTCTTAGGTTCGGCACCCCCACCCCTCGGCGCTGGGGGACCCAGAACCTGCCAAATGCCTCCTCCGACGCCTCTTCCTTCTTGGCCTCTTGTTCAGAGCCAGTCTGGCTGACTTGGATGCTCCCCAAGGCCGTGAAAAGGGGCCTGTCCGTGGCGGGCAGGGGCCCAGCAGTGGGGGGGAAGGTTAGAGAACCTCTGTTGTCTGTCAGCAGAGGGAGGCACCCCCTCTTCCTAGAGTAGCATTGCTTTTGCCAAACTGTATCTGAGGCTAAGGAAAGGGGACGTGGCCCCTGCTGGCAGCGAGGCTTGGGATGCCCCCAACACAAAAGCCGCTTCCTCTCGCCCCCGCCTCTGGCCCCCGGATGCTGCTTCCGGGCCTCCTCGGAAGAAGGCTGCGGGGTCCAGCTCGCCAGCCATTCTCCACGTGCAGACAGCGGACAGCTGCCCCTGTTGGGAGAGCTAACCTCCCCCACCCCCTCCATGTTTTTCCGGGCATGTGTGCGGGTGTCTCTAATAAATAAGATGACATTCCTTTCTTAACTGGCAGATTAAGCCTTTTAACTCGACTCCTCTGTCCATTAGTAATGAAATCTACATCCTGCGTTCTCCCCCTCCTGGTCCCCGTAAGCCAAGAAATCTATTGCCATAAGCTGGGGACCGTCCACTTACAGCACCCGCAGAAACACCCTCATCTCAATGGGCATTCTCTCCCCGGACCACCCGCGCGGAGCAGCCCCCAGGCCGCGGGCGTGGGTGGGCCAGGCTTCTGCCATAAGCTGGGGACCGTCCACTTACAGCACCTGCAGAAACACCCTCATCTCAATGGGCATTCTCCACCCCCCCCCGGACCACCCACGCGGAGCAGCCCCCAGGCCGCGGGCGTGGGTGGGCCAGGCTTCCCCGGGTGTCCAGTTAGGTCCCGTTTGGTTTTTGCTTTGGCCTGGTTAGTTCCCCCGAA